CTAACTCCAAACACACTGTCCTATATGCAGTCAGAAGAGCCCACCCTCTTCGGCATACTCCACTCATTTCTTTCCCCTTTTCAATTGGAATATTAGATAAACATGCAGTCAACTGTGAGGGCCTTCCGTTCCTCACCCTGCTCCCCCAATCCTCACTAGGTCCTGTACACTGTGACCAGGTTTTTGCGAGCGAGGAAAACGGAGGGTCCTCCCAACCGGGGACCTCTACCGGAGCCCAGGGCTCAACATTTCTCTTAAAGAAAGGCATTTATACAGCGAATCCTGTTCGTGACGCCAATTTTGTATTAAAAGGATTTAGTGAGGTTCGGATTCGCTCCTATAAATGACACTCTCCAATGCACCAGAAAATAATAGGAAATAGATAATTTATTTAGAAGAAGCAAAGCACAGATAGTTTGAATTTGCATAGAAAGCATAAATAATAAGAACAATCAATAATATAGCACCGATCAAGAGAGTCGGTAATGGAAGAGAATACATCACCAATTCAAGGGAACCTCCAAAGTCAATCAACGGCTGGGAGCCCCGTTGCAGCCTGTACAAACTTGAATTGTGTAAAGATTTTCCCGGGCGAAGCGTCCTTCCCGCGGGTGAGGCTCAGCGGGCTTACAGGACGCAGTGTTTTTATATTGTTCTAAACAAAGAAGGCTTGGGGCCAAGAACCCCTTTTTGATGCTTGCGCTATTCATGGTTTGTCCAATACACATCTGACCTTAGCCACGCTCCCATCCGCCTGAGGCTTGGTATTTTGTTTTTTAATAACATCACATCTCACAAGGAGAGGAGCCAACCCTCCATGTCAACGTGACCTAGGAATGGCTAGTTCCTGGAATGCTAGGCCAAGAACACTCAGGAGATATGGAACGGTCATGACCGAGATTTGAACTGAACCTATTTATTTGAGTGATCTTATTAATTTAAAGGGGAATTTCCAATTTCCATTTCATACCCATTAAGTGCTTGTTGGGTGATTGGATGATTGACTGACCTGGGAATAATTCTGAAATAGCACTTTCACTTTATGGCCCAGCAGCACATTTCACTGCCATTATCAAAGTCATCCATAGAGCCAGCAGAGAAGACTATATCAGACCATCAAAGCCGTATGTACCAGCTGACAGAAAAATCCAGGAAGGGACTCTAGGTTGTGTGATGGCTTAGTTATCCTGCTGTCTGCCTCTGAGCCTGAATTCAGTCCAGAATCAGACTCCACAGGAGAAGGGAAACAAAATGAAAATGCCTGCCACAATATAATAATGTGCCATTGGGGCAGAACGAAAGAAAGTTAGGAGATGGTGCTAACGTTTCCCTTTCTGAAAAGGAAAGTTAGTAAACATGAAGCGTATCTGTAGAAAATCTTTGTGAGCTGGGCCAGTGACAAATGGTACCCTGCTTGAAATACAGAGTGTCTGTTTGCAGTCACAAAGGATCACTAAGAAAAATCTTGATTTCGCAATGAAATTTGGAAATACAATGTGTTGTTATGCCTTAGTCATGCTGGCCACCTGCAGGCAGTTAAGCAGCAGAGGGAGAATGTTCCAGCATAGACTACTTAATAACAGAGAAGTTTTTTTCCTGTTTCAAATACTTTATAGAAAGAAAATTGTACCCAGGCGTTATTATATACATGTGTAATTATCAAACTTGATTTCTTGATATGTGACAATTGTTGGTATAATTTACCACAAAGATATTATCCACTTTACCTTGTTATTAACCTTGATCATTATGATTGAAAATATTATTATGATTATTCATGCAGTTCTGGTCTCCCTCTTTCTCAGGATAAGCAGAAACTCATGTTATTCTTGGCATACCTCAAAGAGACATAGGTTTGAGTAGATCCAGTATTCAGAAAGAGTGGGCTTAAATTGCTTATGGTTCACTTGCAAGGTCATAAAGAGGATTGGGAGACCCTGGCATAGTCAGAAAACACTTAAAAGCAAATTATGTTAAATGACTGTTGAAAACAACAACGAGGAGACATGAAGGAGGAACATTTTCACAAGCTATATGCATAAAATATGGCTTCAGGAGGGAACACCCTGCTAGCATTATTAGTCATAAGAGTAATTATAAGCATATTACAAACTCTTTCAAAACAGGATATGGAAAGCTTTAGCATAAAGCATAAATTGGCAGGCTCATTGATTAGTGAGATTATGTGAAAGGAATAAATGATTGTCATGACATTTCTTTCAGGCCATAAATGAATGCTTTTGGGCACTATTAGTGAGAACCATTTACACTTGTTCAATCTCTTTGTGAGAGAGCTACTGAAATTTCCATTACCACCCATGTGCTAGAAACTAGAAATGAAGGTTACCACCAAAAGGAAGAATTAAATTGAATAAGCATTTATTATGCATTTTTTATTTGCAAAACACTGAAGATACAAAGGGAAAAAGAAATGGAAGAGAATGTTCTCTGGGAGAGAGGAGAGGAAGGGTACATTGAGAAATACAGATGGTATAAAATATAAGATATCAATAAAATACATTTAAAAATATGAAAAAAATAATAAATGGAAGTAACTGAAAAGAAAGAAAATAAATAGAACCATAATGAGGGTAAAAATGGAAGGCCAGAAAGGTGAGATAAATTCACTATGGAAGGATTTCATGGTATTAATGAATATTGATTCAAAAAATATAAATATAATCTTATTGAGAAAACTATAGCAATCTATGCAAGATATCATTCACGATAACCAAGTTATGTTTATATCAGGGATGCAATAAAAATTTAATAATAGGACAACAACATAAGTAATCATATTCAAAACAAAAACATCCAAAATCATGTGAATAGCTCAATAGATGCAGTAAAAGACTTTGATAAAATATAACAATCATTTATGGTACACATGCAAAGTACAGGCAAAAGAGGATCTTTTTAATATAATAAAAATAACTATCGAAAATAAAAAACGATCTTTATATCCATGGGAATACACTAGAGGTTTTCCAATAAACACACGAGTAAAGCAAAGATTCACCTTCTCACTTCCACCATCCCCACACACAATTTATTTGCTATGATTCTAGAAATGCTAGCAATGTCAATAATACAAGAGAGAGAAATTGAAATCATAAAGACAGTAAAAAAGACAAAACTATCCTTATTTGCTGCTAATATGCTAGTTTGCTTGGAAAGTCCTGGGGAAAAAATAATTGAGACAACTAAGAGCTTCAGTAAAGTAGCAAGCTATTGAATAAATCCATAAAAATCAGCAACATTTCTATATGATAAACAAAATTTGAGAGACAATGATAGTGAAATTTCACTCAAAATAATTATAAAAATCACAAGACATTTGGGGATGAACCTGTCAAACACACTCAAAACTTTTAAAGATTCAATTACAAAATGTTTCTTAAAGATTAAAAAACTTAAATAGCTAGAAGAATGCTTATTGTTCATGTCTGGGTTGTGCTAATATAATAAAAATGGCAATACTACCAAAGTTAATTTACGTATTTTTGTTATATCACTCAAACTGCCACAGGATTTTATAGTGCCTGATAAAATAATAATGAAATTCATTTGAAGGGGGGAAGGAAGAACTATAATATCATTAGAAATAATAAAAATGGGTGAAACAAAGAGGTAAAAGCACTTCTAGACCCCAAACTACAATTTGAAGCAACAACCCTCAAAATCATTTAGCACTGGTTAAAAAAAAATAGGAAAGTTGATAAATGAACAGACTAGACAAGAGAAATTCAGAAATAATGGAAACCAATAAATCAGTGTTTGGCAAACCCTAAAATATAAATTGCCTAGGAAAGAATTCCATATTTGATAAGTACTTCTAAGAAAATTGGAAAGCAGGCTGCCAGAAATTAAGTTTGGACCAGCACCATATAATACATTCCATAATAAATTTAATGTTGACAAGGCAGCCTGAATGTTAAAGATTATACCATTAAAAATTAGAAGAGAAGCTTGTTACATACCTTTTACAGCTATGGTTAGGAGATTAATTCTTAACCAAACAAGAGATAAAGGCAATTCTAGAACATAAGTAGCTATTTTTGATTAAATGGAATTGAAAAGCTATTGCCCAAATAAAATTAATGCATTTAGGATAAAAAGGGAAGCAGTCAATTGGGAAAGTTTATGGCCTCTTAAAAGGTGTTAATTTGGCACCAAGTGAAGGAAAGATTTAGTTATTCAGTCAAATGAATCATTATAGACAGTCAAACTAGAAAAATCAGACTGAAATAATTTTATGACATGTATAATTTTGTTAATATTCACTGACCAAATTAATTACACCTACTTCATTTAGTATTATTTAAATGCAACTGACGTAACTGAGACAAAATGGATAAAGAGCTGGCCTCAAAAACAGAAGGATATGGCTTCAAATCCCACCTCTGACACTTACTGTCTTCATTGTCTCAGTCAACTAAGGTTAGATATTGCAGAACTGGTGATGATCAGCAATAGTAGAGAAAGTTTATGCATCTAGAGTTTCTTGGACCAATGAAATTACAAGTCTGATTATACTCCCTCAAAAAATATAAACTAAGGCTGCAACTTTTTTATATCAAAAACAACCAGAAGGAAAAAAATCAAATGTTTTATTTACACATTGACTGTTGTCTGAAATTTTTACTTTTTAGCTGGATGGTTTATCAATACATTTACATAGCTTAAAACTCTGGGCCAAAAGTGGAATCCAAGGAACTTTTTCTACCTGTAGTGCTTCTGAATTATTCCAAATCCAACTGAAAAGAGCATACAAACCAAGTAAAAAGAAATTTAAATTTAATCAGAATTCTTTAATATGAGCTTTTAAAACTATATCTGCATTCCTATATGGGAATTTTTTACATTGCGTTAACCGTCCTTCACCCAGCAATGCAAACATCCACAGCTTAGACATATATTAGCTCAGAGAGATTGTATTACATTTTTCAAGCCATCCTTTCAATCAGCAAGCTCTTAGATAATAATGCAAGTGACAGCAGTCTAGGACAGTGAAAAAAGTACTGAATTTAGAGTCAAAAGACCTAAGTTCAAATCTAGTCTCAGTCATTTACTCTGGGCATGACCTAGATAGAACAAGCCATACTTATTCTGTAGGCAAGTTGAATCCTGTGGGGTTCAGTTTCCTCACCTGTAAAATGAAAGGATTGAATTGGAATAGCTCTAAACTTCTAGCTCCATATTGATAATATTATGATGCTTATGTCATAATCATGTGGCTGAGTGATCAACAAACAGCCATTCTTTTTTTTAAATTTTATTTAAATATTTATTTTTAGTTTTCAACATTCACTTCCACAAGATTTTGAGTTGCACATTTCCTCCCCATGTTGCCCCCCCACCCCAGGATGGCATGTATTCTGAATACCCCTTCCCCTAATCTGTCCTCCCTTCTATCTCTTCCCCCCTTCTCTTATCCCCTTTCCTTTCTATTTTCCTGTAGGGCAGGATAGATTTCTATACCACATTTCCTGTATATCTTATTTCCCAGTTGCATGTAAAAACAATTTTAAACATTTGTTTTTTGAATTTTGGGTTCCAAATTCTCTCCCTTCCTCCCTCCCCCCACCCACCCTCATTGAGAAGGCAAGCAACTCAATACAGGTTATACATGTGTAGTCATGCAAAACACTTCCATAAAAGTCATGTTGTGAAAAACTAAGTATATTTCCCTTCATTCTATCCCACCAATTTGTTCTATTCTCTTTTGACACTATCCCTCCTCAGAAGAATTTGCTTCTGATTACCCCCTCCCCCAATCTGCCCTCCCTTCTACCATCTTCCCTCCTATCCTCTTCCCCCTCTATTTTCCTGTAGGGTAAGATAGATTTCCATGCCCAATTGAGTGTGTATGTTATTCCCTCCTTAAGCCAAATCCGATGAGAATAAGATTCATTCATTCCCTCTCACCTTCTCCCACTTCCCCCTCCACAGTAAAAGATTTTCTTGTCTGATTTATGTGAGATAATTCACCCTATTCTACCTCTCCCTTTTTCCTTCTCCCAGTATAATCCTCTCTCACCCTTTAATTTAATTTTTAAATATTATCCCTTCATCTTCCACTCACGTTGTGCCCTCTATCTATCTATCTAGCTAGCTAGCTAGCTAGAAATATATTTTCCCCTCCAACTGCCCTAATACTGACAAAGTTCTCATGAGTTACAAATATCATCTTTCCATGTACGAATATAAACAGTTCAACTTTAATAAGTCCTTTATGATTTCTCTTTCCTGTTTACCTGTTCATGCTTCTCTTAAGTCTTGCATTTGAAAGTCAAATTTTCTATCCAGCTCTGGTCTTTTCATCAGGAATGCCTGTGGGGGCAGCTAGATGGTGCAATGGATAGAACGCCGGCCCTGAAGTCAGGATGACCTGAATTCAAATCTGGCCTCAGACCAAACACTTGACATTTACTAGCTGTGTGACCGTGGGCAAGTCACTGAACCCCAATTGCCAAAAAAAAAAAAAGAATGCTTGAAAGGTCTTTATTTCACTGAATATCCATTTCCCCCCCTGAAGCATTATACTTAGTTTTGCTGGGTAGGTGATTCTTGGTTGTAATCCTGTCTCCTTTGACCTCCAGAATATCATATTCCAAGCCTGCTGGTTCCTTAATGTAGAAGCTGCTAAATCTTGTGTTAATCTAATTGTGTTTCCACAACACTTGAATTGTTTCTTTCTGGCTGCTTGCAATATTTTCTCCTTGACCTGGGAACTCTGGAATTTGGCAATAATATTCCTAAGAGTTTTCCTTTAGGGATCTCTTTCACAAGGTGATCAGTGGATTCTTTCAATTTCTGTTTTACCGTCTGGCTCGAGAACATCAGAGCAGTTTTCCTTGATAATTTCTTGAAAGATGATGTCTAGGCTATTTTTTTGATCATGCCTTTCAGGTAGTACAATAATTTTAAAATTATTTCTCCTGGATCTATTTTCCAGGTCAGCTGTTTTTTCAATAGATATTTCACATTGTCTTCTATTTTTTCATTCTTTTGGTTTTGTTTTATAATTTCTTGATTTCTTGTAAAGTCACTAGCTTCCATTTGCTGCATTTTAATTTTTAGGGAATTATTTTCCTCAGTGAGCTTTTGGACTCCCTTTTCCATTTTTGGACCTCTTTTGCCATTTGGGTTAGTCTATTATTTTTTAAAATTTATTTTATTTTATATTTTTAGGCAATCAAGGTTAAGTGACTTGCCCAGGGTCACACAGCTAGTAACTGTCAAGTGTTTGGTCTGAGGCCAGATTTGAACTCAGGTCCTCCTGACTTCAGGGCCAGTGCTCTATCTACTGCACCACTTAGCTGCCCCATAGTCTTTTCTTTAAGATGTTATTTTCTTCAGTATTTTTTTTTTTGGATTTCCTTCAGCAAGCTGCTGACTTGTTTTTCATGATTTTCTTGCATCACTCTCAGTTTTTCCTGTACTTCTCTTACTTGCTTCTCAGAATCCTCTTTGAGCTCTTCCATGGCCTGGGACTGATTCATATTTTTCTTGGAGGCTTTGGATGTAGAATCTTTGACTTTATTGTATTCTTCTGGTTGTATGTTTTGATCTTCCTTGCCACCAAAGTAAGGTTCTATAATCTGAGCTTTTTTCCCTCTGTTTGCTCATCTTCCCAGCTAGTTGCTTGACTTTTAAACTCTTTATTAAGGTAGGCTCTACTTCCATGGTGGAGGGTGTACTGTTCCAAGCTTCAGGGGCTTTGTGCAGCTGTTTTTAGAGATACTTCTAGAGACCTATAAGTTTTCAGTTCTTCCAAGGTGGTATGATCAAAGGTGAGGTGTTTACTCCTTTCCTGGCCTGCGTTCTGGTCTGTGAGTGACCACAAGCACTCTTTTCTGCCTTGGAACTGTGAGGGGCATTCTCTCTCTACCACCTCCTTGCCCCAAGACTGCCACCCAGGACTGGGACCCAGATCCAAGCACGGGCAAAGCAAGAGAATCCTGCCTCAGTTACAGCAAAGAGATCCCTGCAATCCCCCTCTGATCAGCCACTTGACCCCACCTTGTCTGTGTGCAGAAAGCTTCAGAAGCAGCTATGGTCCTGGGGCTGCACTGGGACTGGGACTGGAGCAAGCTCCTCTCTCACTGTAGTCAATAGACTTTTCCTACTGACCTTCTTAGTTGTCTTTGGCATTTGTGTGTTGAGAAGTCTGGAAACCACCACAGCTGCCTGTGATTCAATCCCCTGAGGCCTGCTCCAGGTTCTCTGAGGCCTGGCTTTTGCTGGCACAGACCACATTGCCCCTTCTCTCAGCCAGGTGCAAGAAATCTTTCCTGTTGACCTTCCAGGTTGTCTTGGGCTGGAAATTTGTTGCACCCTGTCTTTTTGTGGGTTCTGCTGCTCTAGAATTTGTTTAGAGCCATTTTTTACAGGTATTTGGAGGGGTTTGGGGGAGAGCTCAAGCAAGTCACTGCTTTTACTCCACCATCTTGGCTCTGCCCTAAGATAACCCAAAAACCATTCCTACAGGTATTTTAGGAATATTGATATTCTTAAATATGGATGATCCTAAGTAAAAACAGCATATACGTAGATTCCCCTACACTAGAGGTGTCAAACACAGACTACAGTGCCACATTGCAGCAACACTCAAGTGTAGCCTGATGAGATGAAAATGTAATTGGGAACCATTTAACAAAACAGATGAAAGTGCAATAGAACCTAGAGAATATTAATATGTGGTTTCCTAGGTCAACACATGGACTGCAGGGTTCATTATATAAGGTTTAGTGGACTTGTTTCTATTTGAGTTTGACACACTGCCCTGATGGTCCCTGGGTAGGGACTCAAGGAGGAAGGGGTGGGGGAGAAGGTCATAGCTGACACCTGAGGTCCATATACATTCTACCAGCTCAGAAACTTCCTTACCACCAACAGCAGCAACAAAACAATTAGCACTTCGGAGACCTGTATTCAAGTCTCAATTCTGACAATAACTAAAAGTATGACTCTCAGGAAGTCACTTAACAAGTCTGGGCCTATGTTTTCTCTGCTGTAAAATGAGGAGCTTTTGCCAGTGGAGGAAAATGGTATCTACCAAGTCTATGGTTCTTAGTGCTTTGCATTGCCCCTTCCCACTTCCACACACCCTCCTGGCTGTTCTGTGGTAACTCATGTTCCTCTTCAAGGCTGCTTTTGTTGTCCATTGTATCTTATATGCACCTGGATGTAAATATTGGGAGACAAGGAAAGCTAATATTTAGTTTGATTTGCTCTGAGCTTAAAACCCCCAGCATGACCTGGAGCAATGAGCTCACCACCTAGCAATGGTCCTAGCAATAGCATTAGCTGAAATGACCATGTTCCTTTTCTCAGACTTTTGTATGGAAGTTTGGAGTAAAATTGGGAGTTTCTTGCCTCATAAGGGGAGTACTCCCAAGCTCACTTTTCCATAATTAATTTCCCCTGTGATTATTTCATAAAAAACATAATCTATAGGATATTTGTGCAGGAAAAAGAACAAAATCTATAAGATACTTGTGTGGGTAACAAACCAGTTTTTTTTAATCATAGTCCTCTTTTTAAACTACTGCTTCTGTTTGAAAAACTTAAAGCAAGCATGAATCTGCTCTCTTGCTCCATGTGTACTGAAGAATCAACAGAATTTTAAAAATCAAGCATCTAACTATTCCTCACAAATACAAATATCTCTGGTGACCACATGTCTTAAGATTTTTACTCAATTGTAGCCTTAAGCTATTGCTGCTAAAAACAACATAGACATGAAATGAGAAAGGTTTTGTGTCTGCTTCAAAACTAAACTGTAATCAGAGAATACCCACCTCCTCCAAATTTTACCATTAACCTGTCCTGCCTATGCTTGTAAGGCAGAATTGAAAGGCAATGTAGCATAGTTGAAAGAAAATGACCTCAAAGGTCTCAAGTCCCACCCTTGACACATATTAGCTATGAAAGGGAAAAGTCTTCCTCTGTTAGCTTGGGGCTCACCGTTTAACTTGTCAGTGCCCTATGCAACTCACTAACAATGTAAGATAAAGGGAAGGCACCAATCTGTACTAGCAGTAATTAATTCCTCTCCAGGAGTTCCCTATACTGGCAAAATCACAAGTCCCATTAAAAAAGGATTATTTACTAAGAATAAAACACAATTAAAAACTAACTTTATAAATCTTCTGAATTCAAGTTGTTCCTCAACAGAAAAAAAAAAACCGTGATTTTTAATTCCTCTGATCTGATAAATTTATGCTATCCAACTATAATTGGGCCTTCACTGCAGGAAGGCAATCATTGTATTCCTCCCTACTTCCCTATTTCACTCTCCTCAAAAACTATTCTAAACTTTCTCTTCTCTCCCACACCACTCTCCTCCCCACATTCTCTCAGATGACAGCCTTGCCTTTACTTTACTGAGAAAATTAGGGTTATTTGCCATTCACTCCCTCTTCTCCAGTCCTCTTTATCTCCAAGCTCCTTGACATCATCTTCTGCTCTCTTCTTCTTTCTCTCAATTTCTAATAAAGTTGTGGCCCTTCTTCTTATCAAGGCTAATCCTTCTATATGTTCCCTTTATTCCATCCTCTCCTGTCTTTTCCAGCAAATTTCCCCTCACTTATCCTCCCTTCTAATCTTCAGCCACTGCATATCTACTGATTCCTTCCTTACTTTCTTCAAACATACCCATCTCCTCATCCTTAAAAAGCCTTCACTGAGGGCAGCTAGATGGCACAGTGGATACAGCACCGGCCCTGAAGTCAAAAGGACCTGAGTTCAAATCCAGCCTCAGACCAGACTCTTGACATGTACTAGCTGTGTGACCCTGGGCAAGTCACTTAACCCCAAATGCCTAAAAAGTTTAAAAAAAAGCCTTCACTGGACCCTATAATCCCTTAAAGTTGTCATCCTATCTCTCCTACTTTTCTTAGTCAAACTCAGAAAGATCTGTCTTTACCTATTGCCTCTACTTCCTCTCCTCTCACTCCTCAACAGTGTGGCTTTCAACCTCATTACTCAACCAAAACTGCTGTCTCCAAAGTTACCAATCATCTCTTAATTACCAAATGTAAGTTCACTTTTTTTCAGACTTCATCCTAATGGACTACTGTGCTGCATTTGACATAGCTTCTCCTCATAGATACTCTCTCCTCTTTAAGATTTCATGATACTGTTCTGTCCTGGTTTTCCTACATGTCTGATTAGCCCTTCTCAATTTCTTTTACTGGATCATCATCTATATCATGTCTCCTAAATGGAGGTATTCTCCAAGGCTGGATCTTAACTCTTCCCTACTTTATTGGTGACTGCTCCCATGGATTTTATTATTGTTTTTATGCAAATAATGTACAGATCTATATTTTTAGCCTGTTTCTCCTGAAATTCAGTGTCTCCTCACCAACTCCCTATTGGGACATTCCAAAATGGATGGATGGTCCAGTGACTGCTTGAACACAGTATGTCTAAAATGGAACTTATTTTTCCCTTCAGACCTCCAACTATTCTATCAAAGGCATCACCAGTCTTCCAGTCTCTCATATTCATAACATCCACATCATCCTGAATTTCTCATTCTCCCTAAAATCATGTTTTATTTGTTGCCGTATATTTCTACCTCTGCCACATCTATCTCATTCTACCTCTTCTTTCTAGTCCCATAGCTACTACTTAAGTTCAAGCCCTCATCACCCCTTGCCTAAATTATTGCAACAGTCTACTAATTGGTCTCAAGTCTCTCCTCACTTCTTCCTGTCTTGTCAAACATAACTGACCATACTGGATCATACTGGACTCAGCCACAATTGCACACACTGTAACTTGACCCCAATAGCATGTTGTCATTAGTCCTCTTCAAGTACACAAGACAAACTTACAAAAAGTACAAAATAAGTGCTTAACAAATCCTTGTTGATGGATTGATTGCTTGGTTGCTTGATGGTATTGTCCAGAAAGGAAGTTTCTTTTATATATGTACATACACATATACATATACATATATACATGTACATATACACATACATACATATGTATGTGTATATGTATATATATGGATATGGATATGTATAGGCATCAGGATGCAAAAAGCATGAAAGGAATACAGTACTTACTGCAGAAAAGGACCCATCATGGTCAGCTTTGGCTCGTTTTCAGATGTCTAGACACGGAATCTAGGTTACAGGTTCTATGACCCACAAGGATATGTGGCCTGCCCAAGGTCACACTGATAATGAAAAAGAGAATCCAGATTTGAATGCAAGTCCTATGACTACAGAGTCGTTGTTCTTTCTACTACACCATTTCTATCACTGGTACAATGATTCATCTAATCTCTTATGATGTTTTTGTTGATGTTTAAGAAAAGATCTTGGCATTATCTTTGAGCTGTCCCCTTTTCTCACCTTTCATATCTAATCAGTTATCAATCCCTGTGGACCCCACAGCATCTCTCTTTTCCATTCCCCCACCTCGACTCTTACTGCCACACCCTACTCGGACAACTGCAACAGCCTCTTAAGAGATCTTGGTCCCCACCCCCTCACAGTCTGTCATCTAGACCATTACCAGTATCATCTTTACAAGCATTGACCTAAGCTTGCTATTCCTGTACTCAAAAAATCAAAGATTCCCTAGTGCCCACTAAGTCAGACTCAAATTCTCATGTCTGGCATTCAAGAGCTTCTGCAATTGGAAACTACCCTACCTTTCTTCTTTTTTGCTCATTTTTAGTTTATTGATGCATTGAGTTTTTTGTTTTGTTGTTGTTGTTGTTGTTTTGTTTTATTTTGGTTTCTTGGGGGTTTTTTGTATCTTTTTTTTTTTTTTGTGAGGCAATTGGGGTTAAATGATTTGCCCAGAGTCACCCAGCTAGAAAGTGTTATGTGTCTGAGGTCGCATTTGAACTTAGGTCCTCCTGACAATGTGTTTTATTTTTAAATTAAATTTACAGATTACCCTCACTTAGTGAAAGGTCTCTCATAGCCAAGTGAAATAAAGCTAATAATATAGTGACTTCATCTAAAAGTTTATTTTACACCTTTAGCACTCCCCTACCTTTTTATTTTTGGAAATTTAACAGAAAGCTATTTTTTTTTTGCTTCTTCCCCATACCATTGAAAAAAAAAGATTATTTTTAAAAATATGCATAGTGAAGCAAAACAAATCCCCTCATTACTATATGTAAAAATATGTGTGTCTTATTCCACACCCTAAAACCATCACCTCTCTGTCATGGACAGTGTGTTTCATCATCAGTCCTCTGGAATTATGTATATTGTATTGAGACCATAGTTTTGTTTCTAGCTAGCACTGTGTCTATTGTTTCAATAATAGTTTTTAACAGCTTTCAAAATTGTTTGTTTTTATAGTGTTTTGTCATTGTATAAATTGTCCTTCTGGCTCTGTTCTTTTCATCCTTCATTAGTTTATAAAAGTTCCCAAAACTATTCCTTTTTATAGAAATATAAATAATTCTTATGGATCTGCTCACTCTGCATTAATTCATAAAGGTCTTCAAAGTCCCAACTAAAATCCCATATTCTACTGGAAACCCTTCCCAGTCCTTCTTGATTCTAGTGCCTTTGCTCTCTTGATTTTTTCCAGCTTATCCCGTATAGATCTTGTTTCACAAATTTGTTTGCATATTGTCTTTCCCATTAGACTGCATGCTACTTGAGAGAAGGAACTGTTTTTTGTCTTTCTTTGTATCTCCAGTGGCTGACACACGGTAAGCTCTTCATGAATGTTTACTGCCTGACTGCTAGAAATATTTTTGAACATAAATGACCTTTTCCTCTTTCTTTTGGTTATAGGTCTAGCACTGGTACAGCTGGATCAAAGGACACATACTGTTTATTAACTTTTTGCATGTAATTCCAGATTGCTTTCCAAAATGGTTGCACCCATTCACAAGTACACCAGCAGCTGATTAATGTGCCTCTTTTCCCAAAGCCCATAGGAGGGTGTCCAATAATTAAGTAATGACTGGATAGGTTGTGGTATATGAATGTGATGGAGAATTATTGTACTGTAAGAAATAAGGAAATAATTCCAAAAAGACATAGAAAGGAAAGGGCAGAGCCAAGATGCCAGAGTCAAAGCAAGGACTTGCTTGAGCTTTCCCCCAAACTCCTCGAAATACTTTGGGGAAAATGTCTCTAAACAAATTCTAGAGCAGCAGAACCCACAAAAAGACAGAGTGGAATGAATTTTCAGCCCAAGACAACCCGGACGGTCAATGGGAAAGGTCTGTTGCGCCAGCCTGGGAGAGGAGTGCACTTCAGTGCGAGCTGCTGGCAAAGACCAGGGCCTAGCAAACCCAGAACAGGCCTCATGGGAATGAATCAAGGGGAGTTGTGGTGGTTTCCAGACTTCTCAACCCACAAACACCAAACAACTTAGAAGGTCAGTGGGAAAGTCTGTCGGACATGGGTGAAAGAGGAATGCCGTTCAGCCCTGGCCCTAGCACAGCCCCCGGGCAGTGGCCACAGTGGCAACAGGTACTTCCAGAGCTGTTAGCCCACAGCCAATGGGAGGATTGAGAGGCTGATCAGAGATGGGTTGCAGGAATCTCTTTCCTGGCACTGAGTCAGAATTCTCTTGCTTTCCCTGTGCTTGGATCTGGGTCCCAGTCCCGGGTGGCAGTTCTGGGGAAAGGAGGAGCATGGGAATAGCAGAGCTTGTGCCAGCAGTGGAGAGGGAACCCTCCTCTCATTTCCAGGGCAAAAAAGAGTATTTGTGGTTACCCACAGACCAAATCACAGGTCAGGAGAGAAATAAACACCTCTCCTTAGAGCATACTGTCTTGGAAGAACTGAAAACTTATGGGTCCCTAGAAGTATCTCTGAAAACAGCTGCACAAAACCCCTGAAGCTTGGCACAGTACACCCTCCACCATGGAAGTAGAGCCTACCTTAATAAAGAGTTTAAAAGTCAAGCAACTAGCTGGGAAGATGAGCAAACAGAGGGAAAAACTCAGACTACAGAACCTTACTTTCTGACAAGGAAGATCAAAACAAACAACCAGAAGAATACAACAAAGTCAAAGATTCTACATCCAAAGCCCCCAAGAAAAATATGAATTGGTCTCAGGCCATGGAAGAACTCAAAAAGAATTTTGAAAAGCAAAGTAAGAGAAGTAGAGGGAAAATTGGGAAGAGAAATGAGTGTGGTGCAAAAAAATCATGAAAAACGAGTCAACAGCTTGCTAAAGGAAACCCAAAAAATGCTGAAGAAAATAACACCTTAACAAATAGCAAAAGAGATCCAAAAAACCAATGAGGAGAAGAATGCCTTCAAAAGCAGAATTGGCCAAATGGAAAAAGAAGTCCAAAAGCTCACCGAGGAAAATAATTCCTTAAAAATTAAAATGGAGCAAATAGAAGTTAATCACTATGAGAAATCAAGAAATTATAAAACAAAACCAAAAGAATAAAAAAAAAGACAATGTGAAATATCTCATTGGAAAAACAACTGACCTGGAAAATAGATCCAAGAGAGATAACTTAAAAATCACTGGACTACCTGAAAGCCATGATCAACAAAATAGTAGCCTAGACATCGTCTTTCAGGAAATTATTAAGGAAACAACAGCCCTGATATTCTAAAACCAGAGGGTAAAATAGACATTGAAAGAATCCACCAATCACCACCTGAAAGAGATCCCCAAAGGAAAACTCCTGGGAATAATACAGCCAAATTCCAGAGTTCCCAGATCAAGGAGAAAATATTGCAAGCAGCCAGAAACAATTCAAGTGTTATGGAAACATAATCAGGATAACACAAGATTTAGCAGCTTCTACATTAAGGGATCTGAGGGCTTGGAATATGGTATTCCAGAGGTCAAAGAAACTAGGATTAAAACCAAGAATCACCTACCCAGCAACACTGAGTATAATCAATGATAGGGAAAAATTGATATTCAATGACACAGAGGAATTGATGCATTCATGAGAAGCCAGAGCTAAATAGAAAAATTGACTTTCAAATACAAGACTCAAGAGAAGCATGAAAAGGTAAACAGGAAAGAGAAATCATAAAACACTTATTAAAGTTGAACTGTTTACATTCTTACATGGACAGATGATATTTGTAACTCATGAGACCTTTCTCATGATTAGGGTAGTAGGAGGGAATACATACATATATACATATACATATATACATATATATATATATATATATATATATATATATATATATATATATATATATATATATGGAGAGAGAGAGAGAGAGAGAGAGAGAGAGAGAGAGAGAGAGAGAGAGCAAGCATAGGGTGAGTTGAATATGAAGGGGTGATATCTAAAAAAGAAAAATAATGGGTGAGAGAGGAATACACTGGGAGAAGGAAAAGGGAGACGTAGAAAGGGGCAAATTATCTCACATATAAGAAGCAAGAAAAAGCTTTTACAGTAGAGTGGAAGAGTGGGGGAGATGAGAAGGAATGAGTGAACTTTATTCTCATTGGATTTGGCTTAAGGAGGGAATAACATACACACCCAACTGGGTGTAGAAATCTATCTTACCTTACAAGAAAGTAGGAGGGAAGGGGATAAGACAGGGAAAGGTAATAGAAGGGAGGGTAGATTTGGGGAGGGGGTAATCAGAAGCAAACACTTTTGAGGATGGACAGGTCAAAGGAGAGAATAGAATAAATGGGGGCCCAGAATAGGATGGAGGGAAACATAGGTGGTCTTTCACAACATGACTATTATGAAGTGTTTTACATGATTGCACATGTATATAGCCTATGTTGAATTGCTTGCCTTCTCTATGAGGATGGGTGGGGAGGGAGGAGGAGAGAGAATTTGGAACTCAACAATTTTAGAAATGAATATTAGAAATTATTTATGCATGCAACTGGGAAATAAGATGCACAGGCAAAGGGGTATAGAAATCTATTTTACCCTACAAGAAAATAGAAAGGGAAGGGGATAAGAAAAGGGGAGTGGCAATAGAAGGGAGGGCATATTGGGTGAAGGGGGAATCAGAATGCAGGCCAACATGGGTGGAGAGAGGGGAGGGATGGGGAGAAAATTTGGAACTCAGAATCTTGTGGAAGTGAATGTTGAAAACTAAAAGTAAATAAATAAACTGGAAAAAGACATAGAAAGACTTATGCGAATATTTGTGTTGTTCTTAGTTCTGCCTTCTCAGGCCAGGGAGAACAAGTTTATTCCTTTTTCCAAATATTCAAAGGCAGATTTTGTGTTTTCTCTCAATGTTCTCTGCTTCAGGTTAAACATCTCCACTTTCTTTAGCACACACACACACACACACACACACACACACACACACACACACAGAGCATGGATTCGAGTCCCTTCTAGTTAACCATCCTCTGAATCCTCTCTCTACTTTGTCAATGACCTTCCTAAAATGAGGTGTCTGGACACTACTTTGCTAGCTAGATACAATGCCCCAGATGTGCTCTGGCCAGGGCAACCTGTCACTTTCCTTGCTCTGGGTATGATAGTTTTATTAGGGTAACCCAACGCTGACTTATGGCTTCTGGTAGCCACATGACAGGGCTGACTTACATTGATCTTACTTTCTACTAAAACTCCTAAGTGTTTTTCACATGTATTGCTGTCTACCCACAACTCCCCTACTTCCCACTTGGACTTTGAATGATTCATCCTTCAGATGTCTCCCAGGGAGTGAGTGATCCTTTTTAGAATCTAGGTTTATAATAGCAAAATGCTTTACACATTTAGCTGTGATAAGAGGCAGTTCCCACACACTCTCTGGGAAGAGTTACAAGTCATTAAATGTAATTGCAATGGGTAGGGGGTTGGGGCATACCTACCCTACAGAACCCAAGTTATAGTGATCAATTGTGGTAACAACACAACATGACTTGATACCAGAGATGCCAATACACAGAGGTGATTCAGCAGCCACCAAGGGATTGCAAAGATATTTGGCCTATTCCAAAAGATATCTCTGCCTACCTGTTATGGTACCTGGAATTTCCATTAATGAACTCCCAGACCTATCAACATATAAAAAATCGTGTGTTATGGGGCATTTTACATGAGTTAAGACTTATTATTTGAGAACTAATTAACATGTGAGCTAGATACATTTGCAAGATTATTGCTGTAGTTGGTACATACCTGACTTCCCAAGCTGCTCAGAAACTTATGTCAGCTGCGGAATCCCAAAGGTTCCTAGGGAGCACACAGAGACCTCTGATCAGACCACAGAGAAGCAAGTTTAAACCTCTGGAGAGGAGAAGAGAGCAAAGGAAAAGAATTCTCTTATGTGGCAACAAAAGGAAGGGAGAATATAAATAATGCCCACGTTGGAAATTACATAGTTTTTCTTGACTTCTGTAAAATTTCTACATGTGGACTGTGTCTCACTGCCCTCTGCTGGGTGGAACGGTCCATCTCCTTCCTTCTGGGTTGATCTTTGCCATGGCTCTTACTTAGTCACAAGATGCTCTATGCTTGTCACATCAAAGCTAACAAGTGAAAAGGCTGCTTCTCCAGGTTCTGTCCTTTTGGGATAAAGAAATTAGCAGAATTAATCTTTCTTCATAGTTTTCTCTTCCTATATGTAACCCTAGTCCCAAAGCCCTCTGGTATGGGATTTTCTCCTGTCTCCCTCTTGCCCACTATACTCTGATCCTCATAGAGGTGTGAGGCATTGATTTCCACCAAAGAGGAGAGAGTCCCATACCATGGGCTTTGGGACTCAAGTTGCATTCATAAGCCTAAGCATCGTTCTAGGCCAAGAATAATTCCTACTCCATCCATGAGGCCTTCCCTGCAATACTCCAGCCCAAGTGATTTCTTTCTCTGAGCTTCTATTGTATCTAAGGGGGCCATCTCCAGTCATTCTGATCTATATCTTGTCTCTGGCTCCAAATGGCCCAGAGAAAGTGAGGCTGGTGACTTTACACAGCCCTCCCTCACTTACATCTAAGTCACTTGCAAGTCATAGCATCACCTTCTTAATGTCATGATCCTCTTCAAGAATGAAGGACAAACAACAACCTGTGAGTAGTCTGACCTGCCCCACTGGGGACCCAACTGGCCAGTTCCAGTTGGGCAATGCAGCCCCTGCTTTCCTTTGTTCCTTCTCTTCCCTTCCCTTTCATTCCTTTCCTTTCCCTTCTCTTCCCTTCCTTTCCCTTCTCTTGCCTTCCCTTCTTTTTCCTTTCTCCTCTTCTTCCACATACGGTATCATACCCTTACCTGCAGGTGCTCTGTCCAAAGGAATGTAAATTTTGGTGGCTGAAATCTAGCAAGATATCTTGGGGGTTTATGAACTAGATTTCTTTCTTAAATACCATGCCTTAAACCCAATTCACGCTGGCTCTCATTGATTAGCAACAATAGCTCCCAGCCCAAGACCCATTTAGTAGTCATAGTTTGGGCACTGATGGCTCAGAGTGAATATAAATTAATTGTTTCTTTTTTTGGCCAGAAACCCTGAAGATCTTTCCCTCCCAGATTGATTCTTTTTTTTTTTTGTATTAGGTAAAAGGGGCCATCCCTTGGCTCACTTATTACCTAGCCTCAATCACTGAATGGGTGTTGCCTCAGTCAAAGTAAGAAGTCAGAAAGACCTTAGCTTAAGAAAGTCCAAGGTCTCCCACTCCCAAATAGCTCTGGAGAAGATAGTGAGGCTGGTGACTTTGCACAACCCTCTTTCACTTAATTCCAAACCACTTGCAAGTCATGGCATCACCTTCCTGATGCCATGGTCCTCTTCCAGAATGAAGGACAAACAACAAACAGGTGTACCTAAACTCAGTATCACACATTTTAGCACTTAATTAATCTCCAATTGTTTCATATGGGTGAGTTTGTTCTCCCAACTAGACTACAAGTTTCTGTAGAGCAGGAACCCTGTATTATACTCCTGTGTTTCCCTAACATTTAGGCCACAAAGTTGATAATGCTTGACCACCTCACTTCCTGAGACCCTGTCCTCAATCCAAACATCTCCTTTTCACCTGTATGCCCATGTGTGCATGTGCGCACACACACACACACACACACACACACACACACACACACACACACACACAGATGACCAGTGCACTCATATAGCCCTGTGGTTGCCTAAATATACAGCCTCATTCAGACTTGTTCTTCCCAGAGAGTGGCCTATAGAACAAATTAATCCTCTCTTCACACACACACACACACACACACACACACACACACAACACACACACACACTCTCCTATACCCTTACCTCACAGCCAGAGATCTCAGCTGAGCATGGGGCGGGGGGGGGGCGGGGGGGGGATCAGGGTTTCATTCTCAGATGTGAGTGACTGCGCTTTCCTTTATCCTCAACCCAAGGGTCATTTGTATTTTTAAAAAGAATTCTTGTTAACCTTCAATGAATGTCTAATTGCCGGAACTTCATGCTGTGACAGTAAAATGAAAACTCTCAGGTAGTGCGGGTGGAGATATTTTTGGATAGGGAAGGACTTCTTAGGTCAGAGGATAGGCTATCATCTACTCCATCACAACACCATCCCTGCCTAGTCCTGGGCGTTTTAAAGAAGGCATTAAAAATACTTATTGATTGATTGACTGATTTGAAACATCATATATGTGAGGACCATTCTTCTCTGAGGGGAATTGGATCACATGGAAAATGAACTCAGTCTAGTCAGATGTTAGAGAGACTGAGTTTTTCCTAAAAGCCTCTATGGATCCTCCTTTCTAAAAGTCTCCTAGAGCCTGGCTCCTAGAGTACTAACTGGTGCCATCCCCATTTATAATACTGAGAACTTAGTTTCTGATTTTGAAGTGAGTGAAGAGGGAAAAATCAGACTGAGAAGACAGAGACAAGGCAAGGCAAGAAGCGTTTGTGCCAGACACCATGCTAAGCACTGGGAATAAAAATACGAGGAAAATTAAAGACAATCTCTGCCCTCAACGAGCATGCATTAAGGGGGGTAACACACAAAAGGAAGCTGAAAGGGGATTAGGCTCTGAAAGAAATTGAATAATTTCACGTTCCTAGTCATAAAATCTTAGTTCTAGAGCGGGGGTTAGGGCTTGGAGGTCATCTAGTACAATCCCCTCATTTTACAGATATGGGAACTGAGGCCCATAAAGGGCAAATTCCCAAGGTCGCATAGCTAGTAAGTGGCAGAGCAGATCAAACTCAGGTCATGACTCCAAGTTCATCACTGTCAAGTTACTTTCACACTATACAGGATCAGCAGCTTTGCATTACGTTTATCTGTATCTATACCAGATGGAGAGTATTACACTGACAAGGGCTGTGATATTCTGGGAGGTTAGAAGTTTCCTAACAGATAAAAAGTGTATTTAAGGAGCTACCACTTAGTCACTGAAGCATCGAGTCTCCATTAGTCATCATAATTCTTATGTGGCTTTAGAGAGTTGTTTCCATTATGGATAAGCCTTGTAATAAGAAAATAGCGTACATAGTACTTGTAGAATTGCTAACACAGGGAACCGATAGATTTCAAATAACTCAAAACCCTGAGCTTAAGATATATCAGAACAGAACAAATCACATGTTAGGTAGCAATTAGTCAAAGGAGACATTACAGCCAAAGAATTTGCCTCTAAGAACTTGTAATAGCCAGATTTGGGTTGCGGGGGAGAAAGGAAGGAGGCAAACTTATGGGAGTTGGGAAAATGTAATTAGAAGATCCACAGGCATTCCTGCAATTCCTATCACCTCCACCAAAGAAACGATATGTAGGACCATTAATATTACACTGCTATGAATGTATTATAAAGTCTTAGAGGGAAAAAATATTACCTCAGCAGTACTATAGCTATTAGAATGTAAGGTGGTCTACATGTATGGCTCCTGAAAGAAACGTCCAATATAATGACCAAGCCACTTATCAGTGATATTTGAAAGGTACTATAGGCCTGAAGAAGAGCAAATGTCCTTACTTGGAAAAAGAAGAGAGTCAAATCTGTGAATTTTTGGCCCCCAATTCCTGGCAAGACTCCAGAATATGTTAGTAAAGGGGTGGTTAGTGAAATCCAGAGAAGGAAGTGATTACAAAGAGCAAGACTGACTTCATCTAGAATAGGCTGTGTCAGACAAACCACGTTATCTTCTTTGATGGTGTTACCCAAATGGTGTTTACCTAAATTTTGATACATCACTTACTAAATTCTCTAGGCTATTCTTATGGGAAAGATGGAGAAATATGGACTAAATGATTATAGAATTTGAAGCTGACCAAAAGCACCTGACACAATGAAGTGATTACCAGGCTGATGCCCATGTAGAAGGAGGTCTATATTACCATTTCACAATTTGATCAGTGATTTGCATGAAGATATAAGTAACATGCTTATCAACATTTCCAGTTACACAAAATTACGAGGGATAACTAAAGCATTGTTTGACAGAACTCAAAATGATTTTGAGGGGCTAGAATGTTAGGCCTGATTTAATATTAATAAGATTTTATTATTTATAATAATAATACAAAAGCACAATAATAAGATTTAATAATAAATCTATGGCAGCTGTGCTGTGCAGTGGATAGAATGCTGAGCCTGGAATCAGGAAGACACATCTTTGTGAGTTCAAATCCAGCCTCAGACACTCACTAGTTGCGTGTCCCTAGGCAAGTCACTTAACCCTTTTTGCCTCAGTTTCTTCATCTGTAAAATGAGCTGGAGAAGGAAATAGCAAACCACTCCAGTATTTTTGCCAAGAAAACCCCAAATAGGGTCACATGGAGTGGAAAACAACTGAAACAACTGAACAACACATAATAAATCTAGCAACTTACACATGAGTTCGGAGAATCAACAAGTATAAGGCAGTGATGGCATGCCTAGATAGCAATTAATTTGGGAAAAAAGAAAGTGGGGGAGGGGTGGAATTAATGGACTTAAATGGTCAGTAAGTCAACAATTCAGCAATGAAAACAGCTAACATAGACTGCATTAAGGAAAGACTGGTTGGGCCACATTTGAAGTCATGTTTAGTTATGGAAAATGCATTTTAGAAAAGAGGAAGGAAAAGGAGAGAAAGGGAATGACCATTTTTATAGCACCTACTATGTGTCAGACACTGAGCTAAGCACTTTTTACAAATATTTCACTTGATCCTCATAATGAGCCTGCGAGCTAGGTCCTTCTATTATCATCATTTTAGAGTCGAGGAAACTGAGGCAGACAGAAATTAGATGATTTGCTCAGGGTCACAAAGC